AACATAGTATTTCCATCCAGCAAGCAATCTAGCACGAAAATAAGCACCGTGTGCCGTTGGTTTTAGTCAATGCTCGCTAGTTCAAAGCGGTTAGAAAACTGATCGAAATAATTTAAGGACAATCGTTAATGGTGAATGTTATATTTATAAATATTGATAAAGAACGCATTTAATAAACATAATGATGAAGGCTAATGATATAAATGTTAATGGTGTAAGTTCCAGGCAATTTATCTAGTTAGTTATGTTTATATATTTTATAACTTATAATTATTTTGTATGTAATCCAAGAAGAAGAGAATAGTCAAAATGATGTAAATTTGATATTATATTGCCCAAAAATTGACCAAATTTTCGTCAATATAATATCCAATTTTTGGTCAATATAATATCAAATTTACATCATTTGAACTATTTTCTTCTCCTTGGATTACATACGAAATAATTATAAGTTATAAAATATATAAACATACCTAACTAGATAAATTGCCTGGAACTTACACCATTAACATTTATATCATTAGCCTTCATCATTATGTTTATTAAATGCGTTCTTTATCAATATTTATAAATATAACATTCACCATTAACGATTGTCCTTAAATTATTTCGATCAGTTTTCTAACCGCTTTGAACTAGCGAGCATTGACTAAAACCAACGGCACACGGTGCTTATTTTAGTGCTAGATTGCTTGCTGGATAGAAATACTATGTTTTGATTGGTGCATTTTCATCCAGCTTTAGAAATGCACCAATCAGAACAGAGTATTTCTATCCAGCAAACAATGCAGCACAAAACCTGGATGTGTTATAAACAAAAAAGATATTTTAAATAAAATATATCAACATTTCAAAGTTATATTTCGTAGATATTTATTGTGATACGTTAATTTTACTATTATTTCGTAAATGTATGCAAAATATCATTTCAAAATGTTTTGAATGTTTCATTTGAAAGGTCACATTTAATACATTTCTGATATGAGCTATTGTGGAATATCTCTATTGGCCGCGTTCAGTAGAACAAGTGATCAGTAAGCGTTCAGTGAGCTCTTGCATCTGATTGGAATATAGTTGGAGATCTAAAAGAATATGCCAAATCATATACAAGAGCTCCCTGAGCGCTTACTGATCACTTGTTCTACTGAACGCGGCCATTGTAACGATTGTAACGAAAATTTGGTAAATTTTTGGTCAATATGGGTTGCGTTCCGATAATCACTGCCAGTACTGAAGATCTATGGCCAGTATTCATAATCCGATCTTATATTTAAGATCATCTTAAGTACTGTCTTAAGATGACATGAATCAATCACAGAGCCATATTCGTATCTTAAGACATTACTTAAGACGGCCTTGAAATAAGATTCGACTATTAATACCGGCCTATGACATCTATAGTAGATCCTGCTTAAGACAATCTTAAGGGTCATCTACAATGGCTGTAAGAATATGACTGTAAGGCTGTAAGACGTGAAATAAATTATTTTCATTCGCTGACAGTTCACGTTACAGCCTTAAAGCCATATTCTTACAGCTATTGTAGAATGGCCTTTAAATATAAGAACGGACTATGAACAAGTTTTAAGCGGGAAGCAAATACTCTTCCGTAAAGACATAATGCACAACCATGAAAAAATAGATCAATCAGAGTCCTTTATTTTCAACATGGCAATAGAAATGAGAACTCTGATCAATTTTCTTTTGTGTTGTGCATTATGCCTTTATGCAAGAGTGTGTGCTCCACGCTTTAGTGCGCACTAGTGCATCCAATCGAATTCGCCATAAGCGATAGTATAGTCGAGATTGGAGAGAATTCTCCCCACTCATATCCTCACTCTCGAGCATATTCTCATATCCTCATTCTGCGTTCCGAAATTCACTGCCAGTGCTGAAAATCTATAGTTTCTGTCACGTATACTATAGAATTTCAGTGAATTTCGGGATGCAGCCTGTATCACATACGCATAACCA